AGGGAAATCTGGAACATACGAATGAGGAGGAGCAAGGTCCGACACCTTATTGGAATTGTATTTAAGCTCCAAACGATATATGGGAACAAATTGCTTATATATTATGAAGAGCGATGCAAGCCTGATTTTGGAGAACCTTTCTTCTTCTAGTAGGATCCCATTTGTATGTTGAGATGCTTTGAGTAATAGAACTTTCGATAATCAACAACACAAATATAATTTCTCTGATATGTTAGGTGAATGGGGTACTTGACCTGGTGATTAGTGTGCTGGAAAGGAGTGACCAGTTGAGACAATTAGGTGATTGGAAGAGTTCATGAAAATTAAACTCATCCATGCTCAAGTTCAACAAGGTCATGGGCATTCAATATTCTTCGCGGTAAAAATTAGTGATTTCAACATTGTGGGAGGGTAAGTTATGGCTACCCAGGTTAGTTTCTCTGCAGAATGAATCGGCTTCAGATTAGGACTCTGATGCTGAGAGATGTATGGAACTTTTAACTTAAACTAGAAGAAGAATGTTGAATAAGTTGAAATTAAAACATTATTAGATGGACCTTGAAGTTTACAGTTCCATCTGTGGTTTACATGTGTGTGATAAGCTTTTGGAGGGGAGAGAGCTGGAGTTTCGATAATATAAGGAGGTTTACAGGAAATTTTGAAGGTCGTTAGAGAGGTCAGCTTTCCATATACTTTCCAATGTGAGAACCAATTCATGTGAATCTTATATAAGAATTAATAAAACTATATTTGACAAGACATCTTTGAAGTCTGCAAGCTGATTTTAGTAGCTTGACATATATATAGTCATTTGATTTAAAGATTCAGTAATGATTATTGTTAAGTCCTATATATACCGAAAGTGTTGTGACGTTGGTCCAAGGCTTCAAGATGAAGTAGTAGTCGGGTTTCATTGATGGTCCCTATATTGATTGGAACATTGTATCATCAAGTTAGATATGATTAAATATATCATGTCCCTATTTTGCTTAGACTGGTGTGCTTCATGAATCTGCTTGCCTGTATTCTTCTTCTTGATTCATGATTTGGATATGATGTCGAATTTCCTAACTTATTTTGAGCAACTCATTTTTATATTTTGGAAGTGGTGGTTGTATGGTCTTTTGGCACTAAATGGATGTTTGATAATCGCACTAAGGGAGATATGTGATCAAGCTCCCTGTTTCCTTTCAAATTCTTGGTTGTAGGCAATATATTGATTTCGATTCATAAGACACGTGAGTGCTTTTTATTGCATATAAGTAAGCTGCAATCCAGAGGTTCATTTTGTTTGTCTTTTGTGTGATGTGGTTCATTCATTAAAGCAGGTTCTTTCTGTTCATTCAACAATCCAGGTCTAAAATAGTGATTGTTGATGCCCAGTTCGCTTTGTTGGAACCAAATAAGAATGCCACGATAGCCCTAAGTCAGTGTCAACTAATCAGTTACTTTGCTTCAAAATCATTCTACAACGTGCAACACATTCTTGACTTGATAAGGTCCAGAAATGGAACTCAACAGTAGATATGCACTGTTTTTTGTATGTGATGGTTAACAAAAATAGGGATCATTTGTTCTTTGGTTGTTGTTATGTACAAGAAGTTTTGCAGGTTATTTTTTGTGATATAAGGGATTATTCCCCTGGTGAAGGATGACATGAAGGACTAGAAGAAGCTGTGCAGAAGTTGGAGAAGCATCATGTGGGAGGTTTTCTGTGGACCGAGGTGGTTAGTCAAGTATGAAGAGAACGTTATACCAGGGTATTGGGAAGAAGATGAAATGCAGGAGTTGGCTGGGAAAATCAAGGCAGTGCTAGAGGTTAGGATGCTTAGTGATTGTAACCTCACAATAGAACCAACCAAGATAGTGGTCTACGAATGAGTTAGATAGTTAGAACTGTGTTAATGCAAGAGTCTACTGTAACAATTTTATTTGTTGTGTATAGATTGTGTTTGATGAAATAAAAGGTACTCCTACCTTGGACTACTACGAAAACACCGTCCAATTTCAAATTTTCACGATCTAATTCAAAATTTTCAGACAATTGAATGTGACTAGCATATTGTGCAAAAGGAATCCATGTAGATTATAGTATTTTATTTCAATGTTCATGGTTAATTTAAATATAAATATGTTGGAGTTGAAGGCACTTTGTCACAAGGGATGGATGGCTTTGAAGTCATTCTATGAAATTGCTTTAGGTGTCGGTCAGTTTAAGTTTTCTAGGCATTCTCATTATCCTACTATCCAATTCTTTGTTGGAGGACTCTTTAGTGTCGATTTCAACACTTTATCTAAGAAAGATATTTTGGTAATTGAGTTGGTGGAAATTTTATTATGTTACCCAAATATGTTCTTTCAATAATGATGAGACATGATAATAGCAAGAATAGTCTTCGAATTCCGTATGTATGCTTTTAGGTGCTTCTAACACACACATAATATGGTGTCTATATATATTGATCTCTCACTTTAATCCTTTCTTACATTTATTATATAATTATAATGTTTTTTTGTCTTTTTATGGGTCAACCTTTTGCCTTGTCTACAATTATACTTCAACAATATTTCCTTGATTTTTTGCTCTATTATGTATCATATATGTGCCTTCGTCCTTATTGTATTTACTTTTTAGCATTTTGTTTCACTTTAAACCTCAAATTAATAATGCACATCTCACACCCATGACTATAGATTTATTTATCCATAATCACAAATTAATAACCACACTACTTGCCTTCCTTGCCGCGCGGGCTTCCGTACTAGTTAGAATTAAAGAACAGGGTTGTGGGACACTTAACCATTGCAGTGTGATTTTATGCGTTTGGAGCCCGACCTGGCCCTGGCGATTAATGACTAGGTTGAAATATATATATATATTTTTTTATGAGAACTAGGTTTACGTTAATAAAATCATAATCAAAGTTTTTTTTATTGGCAAACAAATAAGAGAAAGAAATTCTTATACTGTAGCAAATGTGATCCAGGACTTGAATTGAGTAAGAAAATGCTATCCAGGACTTGAATTGACTGATCTTTCGGACATGATACTATACTCTAACCCTTAAAGATCAAAATCTAGCTCTTAATTCTCTAAATCTTATACCCCAAGATCAATTTAATTAGAAACAATAATCGACGGTTATGATTCGTCCAAATATAGGCAAAAAAATCAATGCACCATCTTAGGGTTTATAGTTTATGATTTAGATAATTAGGACCTAGGGTTCACTCATTAAGGGTTAGCGTATAGTGTCATGTCCAAAAATCCTGCTAATTCGAGGTCTAGATAGCGTTTTCATACTCAAGGTATGCGGCACCATATATATATATATGTCCAAAAATCCTGCTAATTCGAGGTCTAGATAGCGTTTTCATACTCAAGGTATGCGGCACCATATATATATATATAACACAAGAGGAAAGCGACAATGACTACGAACAAACTCAAGTATTAGGGTATGTGGGTGCGGTTAATCCGTAGTTTGACGTCGATCCATCCGCAATAATCCGAACCACAGTGGGTGGGTGATTTATGTGGGTGGATTACGGATTGATAAATCCCCTATCCGCATTTAGTCGAATGTGTGGTGGATGGATTGCGGGTCACCCGATTGACCTGTACCGTGTTTTCATATGACAAAATGTTTTTTCTAATTTATATTATCAAAGAGTCGTCATATTTGCTAACCACACTACACAAAGCCCATCAAGTTTCAAAAGTGGAGAATAAATAATATTATTTAACTACTATTATTGGTTACTATGTTGTGTATGTCCATTAGATATTTGGATGAAAATTATAAAATATTAATTGTAACAAAGTCACAAAATGCGTCAGTTTCTCTATGCAATTGGTTGATAGAGTAATAAAAATATAGTGCAAACACTAGACGGATCCACATTAGAAAAAGCGTGAACTATATCTAAATTGATTGTCTTAATAACTCGCGAGTAACTTATTATAAATGTTAGTCAACTCTCAATTTTCTTAAGTGGGTGGGTCAATTTGAGACCAATACCCACCCAACCCGCCCATTGCCCACCCCTAATGAGTTGGTGTAGACGATGAAAAAAACGAGATCTTCGACACAACTCCAATAATTGTAATTGGCCCAAGAATTTTTTTGTTATAAATTAATGATAATTAATTATAATTGGCACACTTCCATCAGAGACTCTGATCATTGTCTGGGCTCCTTCATTAATTTCCGGTCTCCACCGCCCGGTGCGGTGAAGTCGTTCATTCTCTTTGTCGTCTATTGCCTCCACTTTCAGTGGTTCACAAATCATTCCTCCAAACAATAACTAATTTGAGGTTTGGATCCCGAAATTCAAAAATTGAGTTTTTTTTTGTTCTTTCCCACTCTCCCCAAATCTTACATGCCAAATTATAATTGATGGGTAACTTGAATAGATTTGTAGTAGAATGTGTACTTGTCAGAAATTATAATTATTATCCTTTGATTTACTTGCTTCTAAAGTTAATTTAAATTTATGTTGCTACTGTAAATTGCAAACATAATTTTCAATTGTGAAGTTAAGGGAGCGGATACTATAACAACACCTATAGTGTTGTTATAGTAACAACAGGGGTAAAAACGAGAACTCACTAAAAGTGATAAATTAAAAATTAAAATAAAATAAACAAATACCCCAACCCTGCTCTGTTTTTTTTATCCCTTCGCTTCCTCTTTCTTCCAGATCTCTCGTTAACTTCGCCTTTCTTTCTCCGTCCAGAGCATCGCGACCACCGTTGTCGTCGGGTGAAGTCCAACGACGTCGCCCAAACTCTGACTCTCCTGCTCTGCAACGCCGCCGTTCTATCTCAGTCCAGCGCTCCGCGACCACCACCGTCGTCGGCTGCTAACGAGCTCGTCGAGGGGAATATGCAGTCCAGTGGCATCGCCAAAATCCTGCTCTGCGGCGGTACTCTTCGTCACGACTCGCTCCCATGCTCCTGCCGTAAGAAATCCAGATCCCGACCGTAAAAATCCTGCTCTGCTCCTCGCTTCCTCTCTTCCTGTTCAAGCCACATCGTCGTCTGCGTCGGCGGGAGCTGTCGGAGATTCGTCGTCCGGACGACGCACCTGAACCATCCGATCTTCAATCGCATCCTGTCTCAGGCCGAGGAGGAGTTCGGCAACGCCGGCCCGCTGCGGATTCCCTGCGACGAGTTGGAGTTCGAGGAGATTCTGAAATTGGTGTCTAGATCTTATTCGATTAGGAGGTTTTTGAATTTGGGGGAGATTCAGCGGTGCGGTGCGCCACCACCGGCCTGCTAGCTAGCTGCCATCAGAGGCCGAAAATTTTTTGAGGCTTCCACATGGCATGCAACTCGTCTAAGATCTATATCTTGTCTTGTCTATACATGAATGAATAGAATGCACACAACCGAATCCGAAAACCCTTACAACGAGCGATGATGAGGGAAGAAGAAGAAGACCAGGCAAAGGGAATATTTGCATCTTATCTATCTACTGCTTCAACGCAGACCAGGCAAAGGGATATTTGCATTTTGGGAAATAAAATGGCGGAAGAGGAGAAGCAATTTGATGAGTATTTTGGTTTGGGGGTTAGGGGCTAGAATGAGAATAATCGGAGCTCTTTGTTTACCGGGAAGGGAGTTTCATTGAAGGATTTTGATTGTAGACGTTTCTTTAGTTCCATTTAGGCTGGAGAATCAAGAAATTGACATTAAATAAGCTTTGTGAATCGGTTGCTCTGGCGGTGGGACAAAGGTCAGGGAGACCGAATTTCGAAGTAGATGCAGGGATAAAGCAAGAATTCATAAGTAAACCATAAACTTTCCAATATAGTCCACAAACACGATAAAAAAAGCATACCAGAAATCTTCAAATGCATACCATAAATCACTTAAAATAAACTAGAAACTTCACAAAGCAAACTACAAATATTTCATAATCACACCAGAAATCTCATAATCCAAACCACAAACACCGTAAAGCAAATCATAAAAAGCAAACCAAAAACCTCATAATGCAAACTACAAATCGCCTAAAACAAACCAGAAACCTCACAAAGCAAACCACAGAATTTTCAAAAACACACCAGAAATCTCATAATGCAAACCACAAACACGATAAAGCAAACCACAAAAACAAACCAAAAACGTCCTAATGCAGACCAAAAATATATTAAAACAAACCAGAAACCTCACAAAGCAAACCACAGAATTTTAAAAAACACACCAGAAACCTCATCATTCAAACCACAAACACGTTAAAGCAAACCACAAAAATAAACCAGAAACCTCATAATGCATACCACAAATCTCCTAAAACAAACCACAAATCCCTAAATGCAAAACACAAAATTTTTTAAAGCAAACCAAAATCTTCTCAATGCAAACCACAAACACGATAAAGCAAACCAGAAACTTCTTAATGCAAACCACAAACACGATAAAGCAAACCACAAAAGACATACAAAAATATGAGAAACCAAACCATAAATCTCACAATGCAGACCATAACATCCGGTGGTCGTTGGTCGTTGACCGGTCAACGAAGATGACCGTCAGTGAGTAGATTCCGGCGCCGATAGGCATATTCCGGCCCCGATGACTAGATTCCGACGCGGGTAAGCATATTCCGGCGACGGTGGCATATTACGATGACAAAATAGCATATTCCGGCGACAAAAAAGTATATTCCGGCGACCAGATTCCGGCGACCGGTGGCCGAATTCCGGCGACCAAAATTTTGGTCCGAAAATAAAAACAAATTATTTATTTTTTATTTATTTATTCTTTTTTTGTTTTTATTTAAACATATTTTTCATAATGACAATTATACCCTTGTTTTGATTTTACACTAGGTCAACTAAATTAATAAAAAGTCATCACAACCCTAACTTTCTATTGGTTGGAGACTAGTGTTGTTACAATAACAACAAAAGGAGTATTGTTATAGTATCTAGTCCCGTGAAGTTAATCAACATTGATATTCAAAATGGGAAGAGCGATCAATTTATAAATAATTTTTATATAATATCTATATTATTTCATTAATTGAAAATAGTGCGCAGAAATCTGATAATAGTTGGGGTACTAGAAAAATAGGGGCCTATATTATATTCCCAACATTCAGTCTCATCACATCTCTGGCGTCCATTGTATGTACCAGAGCTCGCCTCACCTTTGCAAAAACAAGAAATTCTTGGTTCTATCTCTAATAACCATACTGAAACTCGTTCCTTCTCTTTGATACATGTTGCATTAACATTGATCTTGAAATTCGCAGTGGTCGAAGGTACCCTTGCCTACCCGTTGTCACTGCTGATCAACATTGATAGTTCAGGTACTCTGATAGCCATCTCTTCGCTTTTTCATTATCTCATATTCTTGCATCTTCTTCTTACTCCACAACTGACCATTATGTTCATCCCAGAAAAACCACAGAACAACCAAAAATTGACTAATGAACTCATTTGTATCCGACTTGTAAATTCACAGGTAAGATCTTGAATATATTTGTAGTAGAATGTGGACATGCCAAAAATCATAATTATTATTCTTTTATATACTTGCTTTTGAAGTTCATGTTGACTTTTTTTGTTGCTATTGTAAATTGCAAACATGCTTTTTTTACCGAATGCGACGCATGTTTTTTCAAGGGTGAAGTTATGAATTTATTTTATAAATATTCTAGAATATCAAAAGTCGTCGCTCACAGTAAAAATAAAATTTTATTTTATTTATTTAATTTTATCAACCGACATGCGTCAATAAAATTCTTGGGTTCCCAATAAATATACCTGACCTAACAACCAATTTGCCCTAAAACCCATCTAGACTTACCATGTGGGCCGTTTACTTGCCATTTCATTTCTGTTAGCTGTCACAACAGAAAACAAAATTAAAATGAAAACAAAGCTGTCATTTCCTGTAAAAACAAAACTTGAAAAAACCTTGTTTAGTTGGAAATTTTGGTGAGTTCTGAAACTGAATTCTGAAAATGAAAACCTGTTTAGTTGCTTCATATTGTTTTCTAATTCTTGAATATTATAATTTTGTTCATTGAGTACCATACAAACCTAGCCATGATTATAAATTTTAATTCGAATCAAATAGTTTTTAAACTAAAAATAAACACAATACAAGTACAACATCTTATATTAATTAAGTACTAGTACAACATAAAAATTCAAATAAGTCCAGCTTGAAAATCATCCCACAACTTGAGTACATACAACTCTAGTCATGATTATATATTTTAACATGAATCAATAGTTTTTAAACCACTAATAAACACAATACATGTACAAAATCCTATTATTATAAAGACATTAAAAAAAAGCGAATAAATAGGATTTTGGGAAGCCTCTCAAGCAAATAGTATCGTCCAAGAATTGAGGGAAGCCTCCTAGGCTAGCAAAACAAGAAAGTTAAAAAATAAGTAGCTAGCTAGCGGGATTCGAACAGGGGGAATCATAAGTTTACATTGACGATTTTTTGCCAGGCAACGGGGAGAAACCAATGTCATAGTTTCCCGGAAACGTACTTTTATTGTTTTCCGCCAGCTGCCTCATTTATGGCATTCTGTTTTCGCAAGGAAAACAAAAATTAGAAGTGAACATATTTTTTGCTATTTATTTTTTGATTTTCATTTTCACAACAAAAAACAGAAAACAAAATAGAAAGTGAACATACACACAAATTTCAAGATCACTAGAAACTAGATTTACTCTCAAAACGAAAATCACTTCTCTGCTTTTATTGATCGTCTATGCCTATCTACGAAGTTCTTGCTACATGGATCACTAAAAATTTAAAATCTTTGGTGGTTGATTCTTGCCCTAAGAATATCTTTTTGTGCATACGTATAGGCTTTGGCCACGTAGTTTTGATGAGGTAGTTGTCTTTTTTGAATCCACTGTCCAATTTGCTCGAAGTTGGATTTAAAAATTAAATAGTAATTTGAAGTTTTTAAGACGTAACTTGTATTCTCTGTAACTAATTTAAATATTTCATGATTATAAAAAATTAAATATTATGTGATAATTTTATTTTTTATGTAAATTTTACAGTTAATTAGAATATTATGAGATTAATCTTAATTTTCTGAATTTATTATTTATTTTTAGTTTTTTTTTTAAATGGATGTAGCCTCCCTGATGTCCTGGCTAGACTCGACTCGAGTGGGTTAGATAGGGCCAAGGAAGGGATAGGTTCGGGTCATCATATTTGTTATTTGGTCCTATAGGACCGAATTTTAGGGATTTTTATTTCAGTCCAGGGCCAAACTCGTCCCAGTTTTAGCATAAATCTATACAGGAGAAAATTTTGATTTGATTTTCTTCAACTTGAGGATTCGAACCATGAGTTGAAGATGAGTGAGGAGATCCACTAAAATTGATCTTATTGTTTCATCATCGAGCCAACAACATTCACAAGAACACGTGCCACATGCATAAGAAGCATTAGCCGCCAATAAGAATTGTTCTTTTGTAAGAGTGGGAAGTGACGAGTTTTACTGTTATTAGAAAAGGGAGGCCTTCGCTTTGCAGCAACATTTATCAAGTGTTGTTGTGTTGGATACCTTTTTGCAAGCTCGTCTATTATAAGTGTATTGATAACACCTAAATTATACGGGTTAATTGCAAGGATGGTCACTGGGTTTACTAAAACCGTTCATGTTTGGTCACTGCAAATATTTAATTTCATTCATGGTCACTAAGATTAGTTCAATAATTCAAGTTTGGTCACTCTCCGTTAGTCTCCGTTAGTTTTTGCTGATGTGGCAGTCAACTATTAAAAATAAAAATAAAACTTACCTCCTAGCCAACGCTGTCGCCACCACGGATCTCCGATTCAGCCTCCTCTCCTCCAACTCCTCCCCCGCATTCACGCTCTTCGAGCCCCCTGACCGCGAAAAAGGTAAGTTTCACGCTCTTCGCCCCCACAGAAAGGCTGCGATCAGGGAATTGTTGAACACGCGCGCTCCAACAAGCTTGTTGTTACAGAGCGAGCTGCTGTTGAAGTGACACTGCCCTTTCCACCTCGCGCGGGGCAACCATGGAAGAACAACAACTAACATCATATTCATAGGCAGAGGAGGAATCAATTAATGGAATAATGATGCTCTGCTCTCTGAGTCTCACTCAACACGTCCCCTCCTTTCTCTCTCTCTCTACCTCCCCTGTTTTTTTCTCTCGGTTCCCAGAATTGTGCATATAAAACTCCAAATCATCTGCAAGTACAGCAGCGAGCAATTTCCAAACTCGCTTACACCATCTCTCTCTCCCCCGGATTCCTTCCTCT